TATTCAAGAGGGACATTCTTAAGTAAAACTGGCTTTTTTTTTTTTCTTTTCCCCTCTACTGGGGATTGAATCCAGAGTTGCTTTACCACTGAGACACATCCCCAGACCTTTTTATTTTTTGTTTTGAGACAGGGTCTAACTAAGTTGTTTAGGGACCTGCTTAGTTGCTAAGGCTGGCCTTGAACTTGTGATCCTCCTGCCTCAGCCTCCTAAGTCAATGAGATTACAGGTATATGCCCTGTGCTGAGCCCAAACTTGCATTTTTATAGTCATTATTGGCAACAGTCACATTTTATCGAGTTCATCCAATTCACTGTAAGTTGTTTGACATTCAGAACCACTTTGAATCACTATATTGTTCATAGAAAAATAAAAAGTAATGTTTGTTCAGCATCTACTGTGTGTGAAGCATGTTCTTTTTGCTTTACTTATTTTAGCTCAACATTATTCCTACCTTATGAAGAAAGTAGTAATCTAATATTATCTTTCTTAATGTATTGTTAGAACAAGAGTGACTTTTTCCATTGTTGATTTGTTGGTTTTCATTTGTTCTGTTGTCTTCTTTGTCTTATAGTTGTATATTCATCATCTTCCCAAGACATTTTTCCAAGTATCTTTTAAAGCCTGTTTACAAGGGCTTTTAACACTTGTATGTTTAAGGACAGACCTCTAGGGATAATCATGAAATTGATAGTAAATAACCTTGCCCCCCCCTTTATTCATCAATCTTCCAGGTAAGCTGTATAATCATCTGAAATCTGATTGAGATTATTTCAGGATAATTTATCTTTTCCCTGAAACAGTATATTGTAGTTCAAAGTTCAAGTATTTGGGGAAATACTAGGAAAACACTCAAAAGACCCTGCTTCTACTCTCTTAGAGCTTACAGTATAAGGTTTTTTGTGTGATCTACCTTTGAGTTACAAATACTATCTGTATTCTTATTTGTTATGTAGCCGGGTCCAGTGTTTATTTCCAGTATAATTTTAGATTTAAATTTATAGTATTCACTCAAATGAGGATCATTGTTCTTTTTTTAAATATTTTTTTTTTTTAGTTGTAAGTGGACATAGTACCTTTATTTTATTTATTTTTATGTGGTGCTGAGGATCAAACCTGGTGCCTCACAGGTGCTAGGCAAGCGCTCTACCATTGAGCTACAACCCCACCTCAGAATCATTGTTCTTTGTGTAGGAAAGCTTTGTTGAGTTTACTAGTTTATAAATTATGGTAACCTGACAATGTGTTTAAGTATGAAGATTTAGCTAGGTAGCAAAAAAAAATGTAAGTAAAAGTGTGATTCCTGGAGAAAAGAATTACCCGTCAGATCTTTTTTTATAACACTGATGCACTTTTGCTGTTTGAAATATTGTGTTTTTATTATCTCTTGTGTTTTGGAGTTCTATTCAGGTTTTTACCCTGAACATATCTTTACCTGAAGTATTATACAGGTAAACTATTAGTCTGTTGACTAACAAATTGGTGTGTGCATATTAATTAATAGACAAATAAATCAATAACACCTTATTCTGAGTAATTCATTGTAGAGAATAATTTTTCAGCAGTTTRATTCAATTGTGACAATAATGTTGGTGCATATGATTGACATTTTTCTCCAGGAAAGCATAGAACACAATATAACTACATCAGTTTATAAGTCACATAATGTATCACACAAAAGGTCAATAGGTCATAGCCTCTCAGGGCTAGAGATTATAAAATTCTGTTTCTTCTACCAATCTCTCTCATCTCTATAGATATCCAGAAGATTTTTTTCTCCCAGATATGCAGCATTTATTAGAGTACAGAATTAAATAATAAAATGAAAAAATGTTGACATATGCTTATTTTGAATTTCTGAGACTTGTTTTATTGGGACTAGGGATTAAAACCAGGGTACCTTACCACTGAGCTGCATTGACAAACCCCCTCACCCTCTTTCTTTTTAATATCAGAGATTCAACCCTGGGGCTTAACCATTGAGCTGCATCAGTAGTCATTTTTATTTACTTTGAGGCAGAATTTCACTGAGTTTCTTAGGATCTTGCTAAGTTGCTGAGCCTGGTCTTGAACTTGTGATCCTTCTGCCTCAGACTTCCACATCTCTGGCAATATAAGCATGTACCACCTTCSCTGGCTTGGGAGACTATTTTTAATCTTTGCTTCAGTGATAAAGAATTACAGTCTAACATGACCGGAAAAAAACTAAGTAAACTGAGAATAGATTTTGAAAATTGGTCACAGTCCTTATTTCTGGTTGGTTAAAGTAATCTTATGATTATAAAATAACCATAAAAAGGTAACTGTGATATACAGATTAATTAACTACGATAATATGTCCTCTAAATCTATATTTTTAAAAAGTAATATTCAACTATAAAATCAAACAAGTCTTCAATTCCTCTTTCCTTTCTCTAATTTGTTGCAAAATAAATACCCCCAATGTAATAGTGTTGACACTTTATGTTTGCATAATCATTCAGTTTTACATGTTATCTCATTCAATCTTCGTAGCAACTCTGCAATCATTCAGATTATATTAGTCTCTTTTGTAAATTAACGACAGTATATTATGCCATTTTCTAAATAAGAAAACGAAGGTACAAAAATTCTAAGTGATTTTGCCCACAGTTATAGGGAAATTGAATGATTTAACCTAAGTKGACTGGGCATCTCTGACTTCCTATCACTTATGTAAGTTTAAGTAATGAGTCCCAAGGAAACATTTAATCTAGCCTTGACGTTTTGATATCACTTTCTGAGTGATTAGTGTTCATTCCAAATAATCCACAGTCCTACAGAGAGARACTGCCTGGTAAAGATATAAACCAATCCTTACCCAACTTCTATTTCTTTTTCTTAGTGCATCTCTTGTCTCATGAACTGGTATACATGTTTCCTTAAAACAAAACAAACATCGTGCCTTTTTTTTTAAATCAGTCCTAGACATCTAGTAACTTAGAAAATCTAAACACTTTATTTTTTTTAGCTCAAAAAATCCAAAAGCAGGAGTGATGCAGAGACTTATTTCATTACTGGTAGATAAAGGAGAAAGTGCTACTATCTTCTCTCCTCTTATCTTCAGTAATAATTAGTAGTATGTATGGGGAAGGTTAATGTTGATAACTCTGGGGGCAAACCCATTGAAGAGCCCCCTTATAGTACAGTGTATTTTTAGTGTTTTCCTCCAACTCCTTTAAATATGCATTTTTTTTCTTTTTAATTTATAYACGATTAACCTGCTTTCAAAGGCCAGCACAGTAGAAGACTAAAAATAATGATCATTAGAATTATAACAAATCTTCTGCCTAATACTGTACAGTTTCAAAGCCAGCTTTTACTTACCTTATCACATTTAACCCTTCGGGGGAAAAAAAGTCCATTGAGGTGGTCAGGGCAGAAATTATTCACCTCAATCAATAAACAAGAAATCTATGGAAAAGAGAAATGACTTTCCTAAGATCAGGAGGGTAGGCAGTACTCGAATCAAGGTCTTCTGGCTTCTAGTCCAGGTCTCTTTCCATTATATCACATTGCTTCTGATTGTCAGTGACATTTACTATCATTGCTGTTTTATTACCAGAGGATTTAAGAGTAGAAGAAATGGACTTTTTTCAAGTGAAAACTATTGTGAAAGTAACATGTTGAAATTTAGTGTATGCTTTTTATCTAACTTAGCTTTATTTTTGCTTGTATTAAAGAGAAATAAGTAGATAGACTCAATTGTGACAGTTATGTTGGTGCATATGATTGAATAAAAATGTTCAGAATTGATGAAATTTTGCACTTTTTAATTATTAAGTCTTCTAGCCTTTGTAAAGTATAATCTCAAAATATTTTGATGCAAAAGTAAGAAAACAGAAACCTCTAACCAGACTAAAAGAAAGATAGAATAACCAAACAGTACAATCTGTACAACAATGCACAACTCACATGATTGATAATACCTGGAGAGTTATATGAAATTTCTATTTTCCATTCCAATAGTTGTTTTAAGATAATTAACTTGATTAAACACTTTTGAATTCTAGTTATGTGTAACTCTTGTGCTATTCTCTCTGAATTTATTTGATTTCAACATATATCAGTGTAATTCATACTTCCCCCTAATATTCCAAATGATATTTTTAGTGTGCTAGAGAATGCCATTTTATTCCTAATAATAAAAGAAATTTATTTATATCATCACCTAAGTTCCATCATCACTAAGTGCCATTTTATCTACACCAAGAAAAAACACACTCTTTGGACTATTTAATATTTTCTTTGTTTCTGGTACTGGAGACTGAACCCAGGGTCTCACACATGCTTAGCATTCATTCTACCACTGAGCTATACCCCAGCTCTTAATATTGTTTTAATTCTTCTATATAATAAAAAATGAATGAAATATAAATAACCTGTTGATAGACAAATTAAATGCCTGACACAGAATATACCATATATAACATGCACTGTAGTAGTTATGTTACCTAAAATTATCATTAWTGAATTGTTGCCATATAAATTTGCTTGTATTAGACTTTTTTTTTCAAATTATACTTTCATTTTTTATTTTCCTTAAGGTATGCTAATACTGAAACATGTAAAAATTTAAATGTATCTTAATTAAAAACAAAAAATGCCTGTAGGAGATACTCTTTGTGTACCCTTACTACCCTGAAAGTTATAAAACTAGGGTATTATTCTACTAATCTAAAAAGTAGCAGATACATACTGGTATTAGAGAGTGTGTGTGATTGCCTTATTTTTGATGTGTTACAGTTTTCTGGAGCCCTGCTCTATCATCTAATGAAAATTATCCTTGGCTACCGTAATATATATGTATATATACCATATGTAGAAAATCTTCAAGTTTCCAAAGCATTCTTGGTAATGTAATTATACTCAGGCTACCAGAGTAAGCTTCCTAATCTAGATTCAAAAATAATGACAAAAACTAAGTCTTTTGTGATACATGGCCACATTTTGTTTATCAATGATGTGTTTACTTTCCACAGATGTGTCTTGCTGAATCAGGGATCTCTTATCCCTGCCACCGACTTACTGTGGGAAGAAGATCTTCACCTGCACAGACTCGGGAGCAGTCAGAAGAAGTAAGCCTGTTTGCTAGCTTTTCAGAAGGCCTATATCCTCCACCCACTTGCCCACTTCCTATTCTTTTTATCTGCCACAACAATGCATTGGAAAAGTTAATGTAGCCTGAATAAAGCCTCAGTAAATTCCTGAAGGCAGAAACTTTCCATGCAAGGTTATTGCTAATGTGTTCCTTCATGTAGTGTTAGTTTCATATTTCAATAACAAAATTCAGATTGATTGTTTGAAATAATTTTTACTTAGAGCTGTCAGGTTAACAAAGAGTTGTTTTTTTTTTTCTCTGCTACATTTATTGGGATTGATTCTGGAGGTCCTTTAACTCATTGAGTTAGAATACTTTCTATGAGCCAGATATGTCTGCATTGGATAATAAAGATGAAAAACAATGTACCTATATGAGGGATAATAGATCTGTAAATTGGTAATGATGACATAATATAAAAACTTTAGTGACAGCAGTACACACAAGGGTGCTGTGGAAACAAAGCAATGAGGCAGATAAGATTGAACATGCTATGTATGTGCCTCTGTATGTCTATTTAGGCCTGTAGGATATTTAGTAATTTTWAAATTTTTACTTGTTTATTTATTTTTATATGGTGCTGAGGATTGAACCCAGTGCCTCACACATGCTGGGCAAGTGCTATACCACTGAGCCACAACCCCTGCCCCAGGTCTGTAGGATATTAAAAGGTAATATCTTAATTCTGTTCCATGTCTACAGGTAGTGATTCTATGCCTAACTTTGACCTTGGTTATAAGGGGATGGTAAAGCAAACATAGACATTACAGTTTTTTTCATTTAAAAAATATTCAAACTGGGTCTGGTGGCACACACTTATAATCCCAGCATTTTAGAAGGTTGAGGCAGGAGGATCACAAGTTTGAGGCCAGCCTCAGCAACTTTATGAGACCATCAGCAACTTAGCATGACCCTGTCTCAAAATAAAATCTGAAAAGGCCGGGGGGAATAGCTCAGTTGTACAGTGCTCTAAGTTTAATCCCCAGTACCAACAACAACAAATTATTCAATGAAAGTTGGGGGTGAATCTCAGTATTAGAGTGCTTATCTAGCATTAGCAGGGCTGGGTTCAGTTGCAGTACTGGGATACTGCAAATACAACAATAAAAAACAAATACATATACAAAAATAAAAAGTACTTAATGAACTCTTACTATGCACTATGAGAAGTTATCACCATCATTTTAAGTGAATATGAATATATATGTACCCAGCATATATATTCATATTCACCTAAATGTGTAAGGCACACTTTAATAAGGAGTGAAACAGAGTATAATACAGTAATAGTAGGGGAATTTAATATCCCACTTTCAGATCATCCAAGTCAAAAATTATTGAAGAAACATTAGATTTACACTATATACCTTAGACCACATTGGCCTAAGAGATTAAGAGAAGCTGTAAAGTATTTCCTTTAGGGAAAATGGTAAGAGTTCTAGACTTAATAAGGAAAGAAAAAAAATTGTATGCTGTGGTTGCTAAGATTTGCAATAAGAATGACTCTTCCATTAAACTTTGAAAAAGGAAAAAGAAATTCCTGTGAGTTTTGCTGTCACACTTCAAACTATAAAAGTTATGCCCACAGTGTCTGATAAGTGTTTATTTAGTTCAGATGGAAGAGGCATTAAATTTAAGTATGGGAATGTAGGCGAACACCTAGTTTATTTATATATACATACACACACACACACACACACACACACACACACACACACACATATATATCTCGTTTGGTACTATTCAAAATTTCAGGCATCCATTGGGGGGTCTTAGAACATATCCCCTACAGATAACGGAGGTCCACTGTACTGTCCAATAAATTGGATACACTAGAATAAATAGGTAAATTCCTAGATGTACACAACCTACCAAGACTAAGTAATGAAGAAATGGAAAATCTGAATAGACGAATAAAGAGTAAAGAGATTGAATCAGTAATAAAAAGCCCCGGTCCCAGTGGTTTCACTACTGAATCCTACAAACATTTAAAGAATGAATACCAGTTCTTAAATGTCTTAAGGATAGAATACTTGCAAACTCATTATATAGTTTCATCATTATCTTGATGTCAGACAAGGAAAATAAGAAAATTATAGACCTGCATAGATGAACATAGATGGAGATATTTTCAACAGAATACTAGTAAACCAAACTCAACAGCACTTTAAAAGGATAATTATTTCCCATGGTTGAGTGGAATATCTCCCTGRAATATAAGGATGATCATACCAAAACCAATAAATGGGATGGATTCAACCTGAAAAGCTTCTCAGCAAAAGAAATCAGTGAGGTGAAGAGAGAGCCTATAGAATGGGAGCAAATTTTTACCACATGTACATCAGATATAGCACTAATCTCTGGGATACATAAAGAACTCAAAAAACTTAACACCAAAAAAACCCCCACAAACAAAAACAAATAACCCAATCAATAAATGGGCTAAGGAATTGAACAGACACTTCTCAGAAGATTATATACAATCAATCAACAAATATATGAAAAAGGTTTAACATCTCTAGCAACTAAAGAAATGCAAATCAAAACTACTCTAACATTTCATGTCATGCCAGTCAGAATGGCAGCTATTAAGAATACAACCATCAATAAGCGTTGGCGAGGATGTGGGGGAAAAGGCACACTGATTCATTGCTGGTGGGACTGCAAATTGGTGCAACCAATCTGGARAGCAATATGGAGATTCCTTGGGAAACTTGGGATGGAACCACTATTTGACCCAGCTATCCCACTCCTCTATTTATAACCAAAGGACTTAAAAACAGCATACTACAGTGATGCAGCCCCATGAATGTTTATAGCAGCACAATTCACAATAGCCAAACTGTGGAACAAACCTAGATGCCCTTCAATAGATGAATGGATAAAGAAACCATGGTATATATACACAATAGAATATTTCTGAACATTAAAGGAGAATAAAATCATAGTATTTTTAGGTAAATGGATGGAGTTGGAGAATATCATGCTAAGTGAAGTAAGCCAATCCCAAAAAACCAAAGGCCAAATGTTTTCTCTGATATGTGGATGCTGAAGTTGGGGGGAGCATGGAAGGAATGGATGATCTTTGGATAGGGCAAGTGTGGAGAGAGGGGAGGGAGGGGGTACGGGGGTAGAAAAGATGGTGGAATGAGATGGACATCATTACCCTAAGTACATGTATAACAACATGAATGATGTGACTCTACTTTGTGTACAACCAGAGAAATGAAAAATTGTGCTCTATATGTGTACTATGAATTGAAATGAAATTTGTAATATATGGCGTTCTGCTGCCATATATAACAAATTTGAATAAATTAATTTTAATAAGCAAATAATTATAAATAAGTAGTGAGTTTTTGAATATAGCTTAATTTCATTATTCCGGAATTTATACATATGTCAAAACTTATTGTACCCTATAAATATATACAATTATTTGTCAATTAACGTTTTTTAAAAATCTTCTCCAAGTTTATCTGAATGCATCAGAGGAAATTATCAGTGAATCACAAAATATATTGATACTGATTGAAATTTTCTAAACTAAAATATAAATATAAATAAGAAAATAAATAAAAACAACATCTAAGACCATTAATATGTGGTTTAACATGTGTTATTGGAGTTCCTACCAACCATCAGAGAGAAAGAGATAGAGGTTGTAGAATTTGAAAGATAATGAAGAATTCTAAAGAACTTTATAAAATTAATGAAAGATAATCAATTATAGATCTAAGAGACTCAGAGTACACAAAGCAGGATAAATGCAAGTAATTACTTATGTCAATATGTAATAGTCAAACTGCTGAAAACCAAAGATGAATCAAAAGTATTAAAAGTTATTCAAGTCAGAAAGAGTATATTTAAAGAAATAGATACAAAAATAACATCAGAAAGTATGCAGTTCAGAAGAAAATGGATGCCATGCATGACTGAAGGAAAGAACAGTCAAACAAAATCTTAAATGAATGGTTAAGAAAGTTATTTAAGGAGAAAAGGCATGACAAACAGATAAATTTATAACTACACAAAAAATTAACATTGACAGTTATCACAAAAATGTAAGAAAATATTTGAATTATATATTTATTTTAAATCTCTTTAAAAGACAAATACAAAAACCAAAAGATGGCTGGGGTTGTGGCTCAGAGGTAGAGCGCTTGCCTAGCATGCATGAGATACTGGGTTCAATCCTCAGCATCACATAAAAAGTTCAATTTTTTTTTTTTTGAGAGGAACTGTGATTGGGCAAGGGGAGAATGGAGAGGGGAGGGTATAAAGACAGGAAAGATGGTAGAATGAGATGGACATCATTGTCCTAGGTACATATGTGACTGCACATATGGTGTGACCCAACATCATGTGCAATCAGAGAAATGAAAAGTGTAGTTGTGTATAGTGAATCAATTTATTCTGCTGTCATATATACATAATTAGAATGAATAAGTAAATTTTAAAATAAAGCATTGTTTTAATAGACAAAGAACTTGAATAGACATTTCTCTAAAGAAGATAGACAAATGTCTAATAAGCACATGAAAAATGCTCAACATTATTCTTCCTTAGGTAAATACAGTTCAGAATTATAATGAGATAACACCTCAAACTCATTAGAATACTACCATTTTTTTTAAAAAAAAAAGGAGGAAGTGACAATGTTGGCAAATGTGTAGAAGATTTGGAACTCTTGTATATCGTTGGTGGGAAAGTAAAAGGATTCGGCAATTGCGAAAAGCAATAATGGCAGTTCCTCAAAAAATTAAAAATACAAGTGCCATATGATCCAGCAATTGTACTATTGATTATGTACAATAGTACAATATCTCAGAGGTAGAGCGCTTGCGTAGCATACATGAGGCACTGTGTTCAATCCTCAGCACCACATAAAAATAAAGGTAATGTGTCCACCTACAACTAAAAAATAAATGTTTAAAAGAAAAAGTTATATATGTGTGTGTGTGTGTGTGTGTGTGTGTRTATATATWTTTTTTTAGAGGAACTGTGATTGGGCAAAGTGGAGTGTGGTTTTAGATAAGTAAGGTCTTAGATATTTGTAAACCCATATTCATAGCAGTATTATGTACAATAGCTAAAACATAGAGCAGCAACTCAAGGGTCCCTCAACAGATGAATGAATAAACAAATGTGTATTTGTACAAAAGCATATTAAAAAGGAAGAAAATTCTGGCGTATGCTACAACATGAGTGAACATTACACACCTCTGCCCCATATGAGTTCCATCTCTTCATCTTAAAAACAGGTTCAGATTTTCTCATCTGAATATATATATTTCAAACCTGCACCATCTTACTTCCTCTCTTCTTTCCCTCCCCTTTCCCTCTCTTTATTTCTTTCCTTCTCTCTCCCACATACACACACACCTCACACACACAGGTAAGAGTGAATTATGCTGGTTGACTCTACATCTTCTATTCATGTAATTCAAAGTTGGCTTCTTCCTTCTATGTGACTAAAGTTGAACTTAACTGTTAAAATCAGAATGTAATTTTGACAAGCCACCATGTTATATCATATCCTTTAATTTTCATAGCACTTCTGGGGTTAATTTTAGTCGTATCTTGTAACTGGAATGTGAAGACACCTGTGCAGAGTCATTAGGAAAATGATAGAATATTCAACCCTAGGTCTTCTGATTATAAATTCAGGTTTCTTTGGTAGTTATTTTCTCATAATACTGTTGCTGTTTCTTGACCTCCTCTTTCGACTCTGTTACTTGAACTAAAAATCTCAGCAGTGATTTTTTTCGTTTTCCATTTTCTTTATCCTCAAGTCTACTTGGTCAATAATTCTTATCAGTCCTACTGAAAGTATATTGCATTTCTGTCACCTTTAATTAATTCCCATTGCTCCTGCTCAAGTATAGTATCATAGCTTCTCCTACCTGGAACTTTGAAATATGTCTCCCTTCTCATGTCTGCAGGTCTCATGTCACCGAAAATACAGATATCAAATTTGTTTCTTTGAACATTCCTCTGCCTATATCTCTAGTGGTTTCCTTATTTTCATCACAGTAAAGTCAAAATATCTTAGCATGTCAGTTTGAGGACTGACACAATCTAGTTCCATCAAACCTTTTTTTCCGTTACTGCCATTCTACATTTCTTTCCCATACTTAAAACTGATTATTCAGTTTGATTTTTTGAATTATTTATTGATTTTTAAAAAAATATTCAATTCCTCACTTGCATTTTTTCTCTACTTAGTATACAACTGTCCTCTATACTAATCTTCCCATACACATCTTCTACTACATTAATATCTTTCTTCAAGGTATGGATTAAATATTAGCACTTGTGTGAAGATTTGCACAGACTAAATCATTCTGTCCTTTATTCTCCAATAATATTTTTATACTTATATTGTATCTTTTAGACTAAAAAAGATATGTTTGTAACTAAATATATCTTCCTTTTAAGTTGAAATTTCTTTTTTATGRTTTTTATTGGTGGTACCTTATAATCATACATAGTAGTGGGAATCATTGTGACATATTCATACCTGCTCATAATTTGATCGCTTTCATTTTCCAGTGTCTCCACTCTGCTCTCCCCTCTCTCCTCCCTATGGTTTCCTTTCTATTTACATGAGCCATCCCCCGCACCCCCTCTAGTTTCCTCGAATGAGAGAAAACATTCATTCCCTGACTTATTTCACTTAGCATGATGTCCTCCAGTCCTATAAGTTTACCAGCAAGTAATATAATTTTATAGAATGGGAATTTCTTAAATGCTAGAACCATATTTTATCTCTGTATTCCTACCTTTTAACTTGTGCCTCAGCATAATAGGTAGTTGGTGAATGTCTGCTTCAAGGCACATCTACTTCAATTATAAGCTTGCTTTAATGACAGTTACATGTTCTCTAAGTTTTTGTCTCAAACAGTTTGGTTATCATCCCCTCCAGGAAGTTTTCTCTGATTCCTCCCACCTCTAATGAATTAGGTACTTTCCTCAGAATTTATTTGTTTTATTACTTATCACTCTATATTATAATTATCTGTATAGTGCTTATAAAGAAGACATAGACTGTCTTTCACACAAGTCCAGATGTTGTGGTGCAGAGTAGGGCTTTATAAATGTTTGTTGAATGATAAAGAGACTAAATGAATGCAATATATAGCTGAAATAGAATTTTTTAAATGTTAGGTGTTTTTAAAATTCTGAATAAATAGCTTCTAGATTTAAAGAATCTTCGAGCTTCCATGACTGATACCAAGATATTATCTGTTCTCCTCGGCAAATATTAATGGGAAAAAAAAAGATTATTTATCTCACTTTTTAGAAAAAGCTTTTCCTAACCTGTTAGATGTCTGATAAGAAAATGTGAATAGATTGGGAGTTCCTTATACATAATTAAGTACCTCATTCTTGCAGATACTTCAATAATTCATATTTGAAATATACTTTTTTCAACAAAATTGGCTTTTTAGATACCTCCCTTTAAAGATGATATGGTTGTAGGATTTCATTTTCTAGGATTTTTAAAATTTATTTTTTTATTGTAGATGGACACACTATCTTTTTGTGTGGTGCTGAGGATTGAACCCAGCACCCCTCACATGTGAGCCTGAGCCCCAGCCCCAGCTCCTCTTTTTCTAGGATTTTAACAGATTGGGATATTCTATTTTTTGTGATGACTGAATGAATAATGGGTTATAGAGTCACATAGAGAAAGTAAAAATCTTATTGTTAAGAAAAGAGGATATTATTTGATTGAAAACTGAACTTGGAGAAAGAGAATTTGGAGAAGGAAGACAGATGTGGGACAGTAAGATAAAAGGGATGAGAAAAGAAAAAAGGAATAGTCCCTCCCCCATGTCCCTTAACCCTGCTATTTATTAACCTTATGCTTCTCAGGGAGAGATGAATCCTAGACAGAACTAAGGGAGAGGTAAATCCTAGGTAAAACTAAGTAAAGGGTAGATAATAACTTAGCTGACAGAGGATGTAAGGTTRTCATGCTGGTCCTTTGCTTATTCCACTTACCTGTGCATTGTAAAGCATTGTAAAGGAACAGGTAGTGGATCTTGTAGATTTGAACCTTTACTTCTTTAAGCCACAAAGTTAAAGGGAAAGTCATGCTGAGGATATTTGAAACACAGAAGGAATTCAAGGGCAATTGTCTTATAGTGTATTGTTTGAAAAGGAAACTTCCTCCTTTAAAATAAGAAGGGGTGGGGCTGGGGTTGTGGCTCAGCAGTAGAGCACTTGTGCTAGACTCTGGGTTCRATCCTCAGCACCACATAAAAATAAATAAGTGAAATAAAAATATTGTGCCCAACTACAACTAAAAAATAAATATTTTTAAAAAGAAGGGATCTTGAATTATTTTAAGAGAAAGAGAGAGGGAGAGAGAGAGATAGAGAGAATTTTTTTAATATTTATTTTTTAGTTTTTCGGCGGACACAACATTTTTGTTTGTATGTGGTGCTGAGGATCGAATCCGGGCTGCACACATGCCAGGCGAGCGCGCTACCGCTTGAGCCACTTCTCCAGCCTGGGTCTTGAATTTTTAAGCTGTTGAATAGCATAAACAAGGAGGAGATCCAGCTCTACAGAATAAAATACTAAGGGAGGGTTAGGATTGTGTATAGAACCAAGACTTTTATGAGAAATAATGGTAGAGTCAGAATAGCAAGTTAATGGCTTAAGATAAACACCACTCATTAATGCATCAACAAATATATTTCTTATTTGCTTTGTCTATTGAAAAAATTAGACTGTCTTAAAGACAAGAGAAAAAATATTATTATTCTGGGCATTAATACTTGAGTATGGCTTGACTTGGTGGTGCATGCCTGTAATCCCAAGGGCTGGGAGGCTGAATCAGAAGGATTGTGAGTTCAAAGCCAGTCTTAATGGTGAGGCACTTAGCACCTCAGTGAGACCCTGTCTCTACATAAATACAAAACAGGACTGGRGATGTGGTTCAGTGGTCAAGTGCCCCTGAGTTCAATTCCCAGTACCCCCCMAAAAAATTTTAAAGATTTAAAAGGACTGGGAATGTATAAAACACCCCTGGGTTTTATACTAGTACAAAGAAAGAAAGAAAATGCTTTTACCTGCCAAATATAGGTTAGTATGATCTTTTTGAGAAACATAGCTTGCTTACTTTGATTCTGATTTTTCTAGGTGTACCTATTTCCTTATTTATTGAGCTCTTAGTTATGTACTGTAGGCTAAGGGTAAAACAAAGATACCTGTCTTCCTTGAGTTTATAAGTGTCCTTCATTTTTTTTTTTTATCAGTCTCCAACCTTTGGTTTACAGATTTCATACCAAGTTTAGAAATGTTTATGAGCCTAAAAATAAAAAATATTAAGCATTACTCTAGTAAAGGTGACTTCTTATTTGATAAAACTTTTATAAAACTAATGTCCTACTGTGATCACATAACTTTAAAATTTGATATGCTAAAGTCAATATGTGTCTAATCAGGACTTTTCTTAAATAGCAAAGCACCGATGTTCATATGGTTAGTGATAGCGATGGAGATGACTTTGAAGATGCTACAGAATTTGGGGTGGATGATGGAGAAGTATTCGGCATGGCGTCATCTGCCCTGAGAAAATCTCCAATGAGTGAGTATTAATAGCTCTTTGGGGCCAACATTATAATCTCTCTTTTAGTATACAAACTTAAAAGTAACAATGAACTGAAAACCCTTTTACTGATCCTTAGGTTTGGAGAGAGAAAATAAAATGAGTGGTCATTCTTCATTAGAATCAGAGCCTTTCAGTTTTATTAAGCCTAGAAATTCTCAACACATTAGTAAAAATTACCCCAAAAAAAGGAATGTAACTTATTTCATATGTATAGTTCTGACTCTCTCTCTCTTCACTTGAAACCTAGAGCTTGATTAAGAGGCAACTGTAATTTCTGTGACTGGTACTTGTTCCCCACATCTGTCAGAGATATCAGTGTGAAGACTAGTAATACTACTTTTTCATTTGCCGGTACCCATCTTTGGAAGGAAAAACAAAAGTAAAGTAAATGTACCATCTTTCTAATTTGCACTTGTGAAATGCATACTATAGAAAAAAAGAAATGCTTTATGCAAAATGATCATTAAAGTAAATTCATAAATGGCCCATTTGCTCCATGAAATTGGGGACATCCTGTGGGCATAAATACATGTAGTATTTACATAAAATTAAGAATTTTCAAACCTCATTGTTTGAATGGGGTATTTAAAATAACTTCATATTTTTCATATAATTTAATCACAAATGTCTATTTCAAGAAAACATTGAAATCCTAATTGACAACTGGCACATATTTTAGATGCTTAACAAGATTGTATCTTTTAATTTCCAAAATTTAGGGGCTTGAAATGTTTTAAAGGTTCTTTTTGATTCTGGTTTGATGAARTCTTCTAATGTATATAGAGTTAAAATGTTCCCTCAGATATATCRCAGAAGCTAAAACTTAATTTTATTTCCTCTTTATTGATTAAATATATTTCTTATATGTGGGATTAGATGTTATGTGGTTTGTTTTTTGTGTCTATTTGTTTTKTTTTTTTTTTGTTTTTGTTTTCTTTTGTTTGTTTTTTAGTGCCAGAAAACGCAGAAAATGAAGGAGATGCCTTATTACAATTTACAGCAGAGTTTTCTTCAAGGTAGGGTTAGGACATTAACTATATAAAATTAATGTTCTTTTATTGTACTGTGGTTTTCTTTTAGGCCAATTTTAATCATAAATTGTTTAAAATTTCTCCTCAAAGGATATATTTATCAATTTATGTAGTGCTGATAGAGAAACACATTGTTCAGTGTAAGATAACTAATACATCATTTATGCCACTTCACTATATCTTTATAGAAGTTTACAAAATTGATCACTAATTTTAATATATTTATTATATTCCCCCAAAGGAATACCATACAGGATATGATTTTTCGTATATATTAGAATAGACAGACCCACACACACACTCAAAAAAAATCTGTAAAACAATGTTAAGTAAAAGGATAATTTAAAATTTTTAAATGGAAGTGAATTTATTTTTTGATTTTTATTTTAGAGTTCTTTACCATTTTTTTTTAAACTCTAATATAATGTTTTACATACCTGGGGGAGTGCTGAGGTATTAAAATATAAAGAGGATTACTATTTAACCTTCAATTTGATGTAAAGTATATTTCTCTTCTGTGTTATTTTTTGATGAAATATAATATTGGCACTATAAGAAACCATTTCCCCCTTTTGCATTGGAATTTTCAAATAAGTGAGCTAAAGTGGGAACTTAAAACTGACATAATAGTATAATCTTATAAAACTGAGTAACCAAGGATTTGCTCCTTACAATCATAACTTTCTTTTCTTTTTCCTTTCCTTCTTTCTTTCTTTCTTTCTTTCTTTCTTTCTTTCTTTCTTTCTTTCTTTCTTTCTTTCTTTCTTTCTTTCTTTCTTTTTTTTTCTTTTTTTTTTTGGTACTGGGGATTGACTCCAGAGGTGCTGTACCCCTCAGCTACACCCCCCAGTTCTTTTCATTTCTGTTTTGAGACAGAGTCTAGCTAATTTATTGAGACTGGCCTCAAACTTGTGATACTCATGCCTCAGCCTCCTGATCTGCTGGGCTTACAGGTGTGCACCACCACACCCAGCTCATAGCACTTTGGAAATTCACTTGCTAGATAGTGTTCTAATATTAGTATAGACCAGGAAGAATTGTAAAAAGCAATGAAGCTCACTTCCAAGCTTTTAAAAACATTTAAAACATTTTTAAAAACATTTTTAAAAACATTTGGTCTGCACTAGACATTAGCCCAACTTTACCTAACCCATTGATTAGACTTGAGAATTTTGAAATGTATATTAACTAATAGACTTAATTTTTCCTGTAGATATGGTGACTGCCATCCTGTATTTTTTATTGGCTCATTAGAAGCTGCTTTTCAAGAGGCCTTCTATGTGAAAGCCCGAGATGTAAGTGCAATCTTGCCTGTTCTGTTTAAAAAAATACAACCCACATGTTTACCACACTAGGCCTGAGGCAATGCTTAATATTTTCTATTTTTGTTTGAGGTTGAAGTCTTGCTTTTGCTTCTGGTTCATCAGTGGACCTAATCTTCACCAAGATGCCCATTTCAGAGGAAGGATTAGTGTAATAGAGTACTGCTGGTCTTTATAGAAGACATGTCAAATTCTGTATTAGGGTTTTTTTTTTTTTTTTAATAGGGGGTAAAGCAAATATACTGACAAGGGACCTGGCTATAATTTAGTTTTCTCTTTAGTTACATGAATGAGAAGTTCTTGATACAGGATTTGCCCATAAGTCTTTTCTCAAAATTATTATTCTGTGTAATAATTATCTGTGAGGTCTGTTTTCCCAGACCCCTAGTGAGTGTCTGAAACCTTGGATAGTATGAAACCACACACACATACACACACACACACACACACACACACACACACACACACACACACAGGTTGAGCATTACTATTCCAACAATATAAAATCCAAAATGGAGTGTTTCAGATTTTAGATTTTTGGATTAGGTATTCTCAACCAGTGAAGTCTATCTAAATTTCCAAATCTGAAAAACTCCAAAATGTAAAACACTCTGGTCCTAAGCATTTTGAATAAGAGATACTCTGGGCGGGTGGTGTGTTCTGGTGAAGGTGTTATAATTAAAGAAGGCAAAGAATTTTGAAAATAGAGTTTAATTGTGCCTCTGAGTCCTCTGTATGCAAATTTATATTAAATTCTGATATAAAGAAARTTCATTTTAAAACAAATATTTTTAAGATTCAATTCCAAAATGATAATTAGTGATCAAAGCTAGAGGTATGTCTGACAGATAATGAAGTAAATTAAGAAGCAAATTGTTCTTTACCCTTAAAGGTGAAGTACCTACCCTTAACAATTAAATCTATATAAGTAGCTATTATTTTTAAGGAAATGCATGATTCTGTTTATATATTTATGGTTTCATACATGTAGGTTTATGGAAAATACTACAAAGCAAATAGAATGTTTTCTAACATCTTTTAATGATTAACTTTCTAATACATACTCTGCATTTTTTATGTTAAGTTTGAGTGAATGTGTTTGTGGGAATTTAATAAAATTGAGTCATTACAATCCTTTTATAATAGGTTTTTACTTTTTAATATTATACAACCATTTCTTCTATATTATTTATGGTATTTTAACTTTTTACTATTAAACAATTCAATATAGGAGGTAGTAGAAGTAATAATACAGTAAAAATTCATCTCCTGTATACCTAGATTTATTAATAATGAAATTTTTTGCCATATGTGTTTTTTTTTCATATATAGGCATCCCAAACTCTGAATGCTTTCAAAAGTTTTCTATAATCTGACAAAACAACAGCATTTGTAAATTAATTATTTACATTTGGATTTATAATTTTGATGAATATTTTTAGATGACTTTTTATTTTAATTCTTCTGTGATGAAAAATGGCAAATGTTGACTTTAGCATTAAGTAAATTTTGCAGATGTAGCTTGGTAGTAGAGTGTATGCTTAACATTCCTGAGAACCTGCATTTATCCCCAGCACCACACACTCACAAAATTACTACTTAAAATTCATACAAACAAATGGAAAATAAATACAAATAATTAAAGCAAAAGTTTTAAAGTTATTAAAACCAAAACCACTTAAAAACATTTAGTAATCTCATATTCATTATTTTTGACTGAACCTTTTGAAAGTACATTATAAGCATCACACTTTACCCCTGAAAACTTCAGCATGTATTTTACAAAAGTCTTGATACTTGTACTTATTCACATGAAAAAAAATTAACAATCATTCTTTAATATCCAATACATATTCAAACTTCAGTAGTTGTCCCCAGAATATAGATAGTTTTTGGTGGTTTTTTGAACCACACTTTTCTGAACGATCATAAATTATATTTGAATGTTAGATTTCCTAAGTCTGTTTTAAGCAAGCCAGCTCTCCCTTTTTTTCCATGACATTTGCTTTGTGAAGAAATCAGGCCAGATGACTTGTAGATTGTTCCAAATTCTGGATTTGTGTGATTGTTTCCTTGTGAAATTATTTACCTTGTTCCTCAGTCTGTATTTCCTGGAAAAAATTGATATTAGGTCTAAAAACTTTTTTAGATTCAGGTATTCACTTTTTATAAGAATGCTTTGTAAGTAATGCTAAATATTATAACACAGATTTTAATGATTATGGAATCTTTCATTATATGGCCATGCTATTATATTTATTTACACTGTTGGTCATAAACATATTTGAGTATCTAATTATARATTTAAATAGTCTATTTTTCAACTCATTCCTCAATAAAAGTGTATTTGGATATATTTGTTTCTGCTTTCAAGCAAGATTGCTAAGCAAATGTTAGGGCCTTACATAATTTAAACTAATTAGATATTTGCAAAATCCTATTTCAAATGCTTTTTAAGATATACTATGTATACTTCACACATTATAGTTTTAAATGCAGATATTTAAATATACAGTATATTATAAACAAAAGAACTTTCACTAAGTATCTTGTACAGTAAATTGGCATTTAGATTTATTCTCACTGATAATCCCCAAAGGAGCATAAGCTCTTATTTATTAAATCCTGGGTATTTCTAATGAAACAATTGATAGTTTGGTTTTTATTAGTGTCTAGGTGTTTTAGAAAATGAAAGTCATTGGCTTATATAATTAAATGTTTTGCTTCATATTAAATTCCCACCAAAATTCACTAACCTGTCTGGATTGCTAACATGTCTTTATTTTTCTCCCCTTGTTCAGGGTTTTTTCCTTTTCTCATTTCTCATTTTCAAGTTAGAGAACAGTTTATGCATAGTTCATTACATTTTCTCTAAATTAAGTAAAATGTAACCCTATGACGGATAAACAATCAAAAATTAAATCTAAGCTGGTACATTTAATATAGCCATCAAAATATATTGTACATATCCCTTTTTAGTTGTATGAGTACAGTATAATAATAATAATGCTGTGATTTCTATGAGGCTCTGTGGTTTATAAAACATTTCATATATGTTTATAAATGTGTACTTATATATATAAGTATATATATGATTATTATATATATAATATATATATATATATATATATATATTACACATATATATGATTATTTGAAACCTATTACAAACCTGTGAGAATGGGACATTTAGTACCCATAGTCTCATTTTGGAGATGTGGAAACTCTGAAAATGTACATAACTTACTCAGACATGTCAACAGTGAGTAATAGAGGTCAAATCTGAGCTCATACATTCCAGGATAGGTAAGTATGGTTTACTCTATGATAATATTTCAGTTTTGACTGCTACCTACTATACTTTATAATTCAGTTATCAAACTTCATCTCTACTTTTCATATTTCACCTTTGAGAATTAAGACAAATCTTATTCAATATTATTTTTAAAATATTCTGAATGAACCATTTTTAAGAAAACAGTTTACTGGTGTTCAAACATTGTAAGGCAAGTGTGACTGATACTGTGGCACTCTTACTAAATTTCTTTCCTCTTAAATATCACATGTTTAATTTAAACTGTGGGAGGCACATTAATTTTACCAGGGCAACAGATGAGTCTTGAGTACCAGCTTTCTTCACTGAAAGTGAGAAATTGAGTTCCAAGAGTAAATAAAAACAAGATTGAAGGTTTAAATCCTCTGCTAGGCTTTTTGAACTTATATACTCATTAAATGTTTATTGGAGTGGTGGGATTACAAAGGATTTGGGGAGCTTCATCAACTGGTATATAGTTAATCACTAAGTAAAACACTACATTTGATAAAGTGTTTCTCACGATGCCACATTCAATCCATCTTAATGAAAACTGCTTCACAGTGATTTCATTTGAGAGTACTTGTTGGTGAGAGTGTTCATAATTTTCTTCCTTATTCTTGAGGAATTTGCAGTACTGTCCAAAGCAAAGCTCCAACTTCAGCAAAGCAGATGTTCTCTAGTTCTGTGTCTGTTTTAAGTGTATCATGACAAAGTTTTGACTTCTGGTAACAGGTTGATCAACTTTATGATTTCCTTCCTTGTTCTTAACTATGAAGGATGCTCATCCAGTTGAAAGTTATAAATATTTATCACATGCCCCCTAAGGATCTGGGATATAGAGTTTTCCTGCCCTCGATAATCTAGCAGAGAGAAGACAATATAAAACAGATCCATAAAATACAATTTGCTATAAGGGGTACCTCATCTACCATAGAAGTTTTGGCAGCAGAGGGGTGATTTCTAGAGGAGATAACAATGATATGAATCCTAAAAGATTAAAAAAAAAAAAACTTACGCAAGTAACAGAATTCTGTAAAAATTTAAAATAACTTCAATGAAAGATTAAAATGTGGGAAATAAAATCAGTTTGTTATTACTGGAGCATAAATAAATAAATAAAAACCCAGTTGCTTTGCACGGAATGAAGCTGGGAAAATCACTGAGGGCCAATCATGGAGGGGACTATGATTCTCTAGCATTAGCTGACATTTAAAAAATATTTTTAGTAGATCTTGTAGTGTATCTTTAGATAAGTGAGAACCAGTGTTATCCTCCTTAATTAAGTTTGCAAAAGAGTTACCACTGGCCATAATATGATTCCCTAGGAATTTCCAAAGAAGATTCTGTTTCTCTTGATAGGCTCCATTCCTCTCATGCCTTTACCCCTGATGAATTTTCTTCTACACAACAAAAAGTACCCTGGAGAACAATTAAACATTTATACTAACTAAAAATCAAGAGCAATAAAAATCCCAGTGCCAGGGCTTATCTTCCATATGAAGATTGTTTCTTTCCCAGGCATCCCTTTGGGATACTGAGCTTTGATATCAGTAATCCTGTTAGAGTCCCTAGGTCTGACTTCAGGCCCAATACTTTTTCTAAATATCGTACATAAGTTAAAGAGTACTCAGATCTTGATTTCTACTTGATAGCTCCA